ATTTCTTTTTAAACTGTAAACTCATTTGATTGGTAAACATTTTATCATCTCGTTAATTCGGGTGAATTTTGTGGGTTTAATAAAGTTTAGCAGACATCAAATTTCAGCATCAGCCGTGACATTAATTAGCATAGTATACTTTACAATCCAGAGTAGAGTATTCTGGTATTATGTTGTGTGATCTAGTGTAATAACTCCCGGTGTGGAATGATTTGATTTTTATTCTGGCAGAGTATATTCCACATCTCCATGGATTATGCCATTAACAGCCCTAACGAAATGATACCTGAAGAACAGAAGCAGCAGCCAATTTCAGATCAAGACCATCTGGTATTTTAGCAACATGTTTTGAAGGCGCAATTGTAAATTCAGCATAACATGGGCCAAGGTAAGCTACGTGATCTCCGGGATGGATGTCCTTTACATCCTCACCAACTGATTCTACGATGCCAGCACCTTCTCGACCAATTATCGCGGGAAGCGGAAGTTTATAAAGACCAGTTCTGACAAAGATTCACCCGAATTAACGAGATGATAAAATGTTTACCAATCAAATGAGTTTACAGTTTAAAAAGAAATGAACCTGTGATATATATCGATGAAATTCACTCCCATAAAGTGGTTCTTAATCAACACATCAGTCGGCTTAGTAATTTTAGGACGCTCTGTGGTAACATATTCTAAAACCTCTACATCACCTGTACTCTTAACTTGGATAGCTTTCATAGATGATGCTATTGTTGATAATTTGAAATAGTCGGTAATTATAATAATAATATATTTTTTCTAAGAAATATTCGTTATTGCGTACCGAAGTTTTTGCGAAATTGGAATGATAATTTTGAATATTTAAATAGATTACGATAATTTTGAAGTTTGATGATCATGGTTTTAGGATATCCGGATAAACAAATTAACGTTAAACAAATTAAACAGTGATCAACAAGGATGTGTCATACGTATTCAAGTAATTTTCGTATGAAAAATTTTTAAGTATTAAAGTTACGTATGCATGGCGTAGAAACTATTGTCATGATTAAATTGCCGAGCAGCTTTTGAATTATAGATGCAGACTTATTTACGTCACTAGTTACCGGCTCAATTGCATTTTATATATTTTATAAACTGATTTTTTTATATAGGACGTAACTAGGCGATGTCATAAGTTGCATTACTTCAGTACTTGTTTAAAATTACTTTTGATTTTTAAGACACACCCCCCACTTATTAAGCTAAAATGAATGCTTATGATATCATTGATTATTTCTAATTTCTACTTTAAGATATCTTACATGTTTTTACGTATAATAAAACGATTTGCAGCACTGTTTAGTATAAAAATTTTTAAAAAAAATTATACTACAATGGCTTTGTAGATATCTCGGCATCTAGCAATCGAGATTGAATAATTTTGATATCATTCGAATTATCTCATCAAGACAAATCAAATGGTACCAAAATTATTAAATTCTGATTACTAGATTCAAGATTGTTAAATTTTTTTGTATTATTTATTTTAATTTTATCACTAAATAATTTTTATAAAATTTAATAAATTCAATGTCTAGTAAACAGAAGTTAATGATTTTGTTATCATTTGACTTATTTCAATAAGATGATTCAAATATTATCAAAATTATTAAAATTCAATTATTATATTATGAGAGATTTGCATATACTGTAGTATAGTTCATTTAAATTTCTAAATATAATGATATTATAAATTATTTTTTGTAAATATTTCATAATATAAGTTAATAATCAAATTTTAATAATTTTAGTATTATTTGAATTGTTTTATTAAAATAAATTAAATAGTATATATATAACAAAACATTTAAAGATACAATTTACATGCATTATTTTAATTTTTTTAAAATTTTAAATCAAATTTTTTTATTTTTTTATTTTTAAAATTCTTTTTGAAACCAAACTTTATTGTTGTTTATCATATTTTGATTACATTGATTTTATATTTAATATTTATAATGAAAGTACAATCCAGTTACATATACAACTTTACTGTAGATTGCCTATTTAAATAGTTTACCTAAGAGTTTTATACTAATTGTTATACAGTATCTGCAATTTACTTAGAGATTATTTATTTAAACTTTTTAATTATTAATATCTTCTAATTATTTTAAGCCAGATATCTTTATACTAAAATATCTTTATTAGTTAGTTAATAGTTTTTCACCATCTTTTATTACCAGCTTCTGAATCCTTATAGAGTTTATTTAAATTCTTGTTTTTTACTTTACAATATATTTTTAATATTTTAATACCTTATTTATATATCTTTTCAAGCTTTTAATCCAGATAATCTAAAAGAATTATGATCTGTCTTTAATATGTAATATTAAATTACATTCTTTTCTTCTAGTAATAATAGACCTAACAGTCTGGTTAATATATTAGTTTTTGGCTTTTATTGCTTAGTTCACCTGCTTTATATAGTTTATTTTTTTAGTCTAGCCTTTATAGTGGTTCTATCAAAGATTTAAGCTATCTTTCTATTCAAGATTTTGGGTAGACTTTAATTTTTAGTCTCTTAGATTTATATACCTGGTAGTCTTATTATAAATTTGTATTAACTCTAGTACTAGCTTGCATTTTTTTATATTTTGTGTAATATTATATAAATATACTAAGTTTCTAGTTTTGTTGATATAACTAAAGTTACAAATGTTTTAATTTGACTGATTGATAAAGAATTATATACTATAATACAAGGTAAAAATTTGAACTTTTTGCATCTAGAAAAAATTGAACTCTAGTCTTGTTATCTGAAATAATAACTCACTTCTGTATAAAATAACCAATCAGTCAACTACACTACTTTATTACAACTTCTAAATCTTTTTTTTTTTTTTTTGTTTGTAAATGCCATAGTTGAAACTTTATTTAATAAAATAGAAAAAAATTTCTACATTAAAGATTTCAGAACTACATT